CACTAATTCTTCTTTATAAAAAAATAGTTATTCAAAGATGCGCCTGGATATATCTATAGCATTGTGTGCTACTTGATGTTTTTTGGATTGGACGGGGAGAGAAACACACTATATATCGAGGCATAGATTAAGTTAATCTTGTTGTATTCAACAATATAAGTTTGATCATTTTGGATTAATGAATAATATAATGACCCTGTAAGTTTGTATCGCTCTTTTTCTGTGAATCTTCAATCTATTTTGTTACATACCATGTTTGGTTGTTAGTTTGCATCTCCTAAAATGCCACCATGGCGTTAGCACGGGCAATATACTATGCTATGTGGTGGGGAACGTTTTGTAAATGTTGAGTTCAGACTACTCCTTTTGTTAACTTGAACAGGATGTGAACCACTCAAAAGTGAAGATTCCTCTAGAAAATGTAGAGGATAGTTCACACAAGTAACTGAAACAACTCCTGGGGACAGATCTCCCAAGAAGCCTTATCAGGTTTGTTCCTCTGAGAAGATAACATGGTCTTTCTATTTTAATTCCTTTATAACACCACCTTCTTGCAGTTTTTGAACATATGGGTTCAAAGGGAGTACTTGGAGCTTGATTTGAGGATACCAAATCCAGCTGTCAAAACAGATATCGAGAAGCTCATAGATGATTTCATATTTATTTGTTTCCTAACCGGAAATGACTGTAAACATGACACGGTTAGTAGCGCCTATTTCAGTAAATATTTCACATATGTGCAAAGTTTGACATGCCATTGCAGATAAGATTGGGATGGGCGGGGTGGAAATCTCGATGCTACAGGAAAAGTTTGGTGTGGAAAAATCTAATGAAGTTGGGAAGTTGAAGAATGACATGGTTAAATTTGTCATGTTTCTCTGTGCAAATAGAATTGTATGATCTATGATGTATGCTATATTTCTTTTAAATGTAATGTATGGCATCGTGTTTTTTGTGAAATATCAAAAAGGGAAAAAACTATTTGTGCATTTGCTTTGACTAATTGAACTTGCAAAATTTAGGGAAATAAACTATATGTGCATTTGTAATGGCTTGTGCTAAATTAGATATAGCAAAGTAGCATATATCTTATTGATACCTATGATAAACTGATGCAGATTTATTATTTGCATTTTAGTCTCATACTCAAAATTTGTTCTCACTGCTAATAGTTGTGATATTGCGATGGATTTGTGGTCACACAAGAATGGACCGAGTTCGGAACAATGATATACGTGATCGTCTAGGGGTAGCACCAATTGAAGAAAAGCTTGTCCAACATCGGTTGAGATGGTTTGGCCATATCCAAAGGAGACATCCAGAGGCACCAGTGCATTGTGGAGTTCTAAGCCAAGCTAATAATATGAGGAGAGATAGAGCAAGACCGAAATTGACATGGGGGAGACAATAAAAAGATATTTGAAAGCTTGTGATATACCTAGAGATCTATGTTTGAATAGGAGTACTTGGAAAGTAGCTATTGAAGTGCCTGAATCGTGACTTGGGACTCTTGGTGGGTTTCACCTCTAGCCTATCCCAACTTGCTTGGGACTAAAAGGCTATGTTGTTGATGTATTGATGTTTGCTGATAGTTGTTAAGAGTCAAATCCATCCTGCTTGGCTGAGGATTGTGAACTTTAAAAAGTGGACTGAAAGGCGGTGTTCATTTTTGTAAGGGATAATTGTGTTCTTACCCTTGTCCAGTAAGCCAATTGTGATTTTGCCCCTACTTTTTTAACTTTGTGTTTTTACCCTTGTAATTTTAAACTGAATGGTCCGTTTGCCCCTGCTTCTCACGTCCATCATGTTAACATGGATTAAACGAATTAAAAAAATTCTAAATCTGAAAAGCAAGGGCTAAATGACCATAATGCCCCTTATCCTTATCTCCTCATCCTAGACTGAAGCACGGGCGTCGTATGTCTGCATCGGGCTCGGGTTGTTCGTGAGTGCGGGTTCCCGGCGGCGGCTGCAGAAGCACCGAAGGGGAGGCCGTGGCTCCAGAGCGCGGGCGCGGGAAGGGGATGCCTCCTGGTTGTGGGCGTGGGGCCACGGCTCTAGGTGCGGGCACGGCCTTCCTCCAGGCGTGGGGAGGGGCCGCGGTACCCGCCTGCCGGTCGGCCTGCGCGCGCTGGGCGGCGGCGGCGCCCTGCCTCGGATCACTGGCGGCGTCCACCTGCAGGTCCAGGCGTCCGCTAGCAGGTCCCAGCGGCTCTTGGTCGAGGGTCGTCTTCTACCTCTAGGCGCCCGGGTGTGTGGCTGCAGGGCACGCCACAGCGTAGAGAGCCGCCCGCGTCGGGGCGTGGCTAAGCGGCGCGCGCTGCGACGTCACGAAAGCTTCATGGCGGCATGTGGGTGCTGTGCAAAGTGGCGGCGCGTCATGGCATGGTCGGTGGTGTATTTGTCTGTGGAGGGCTTGTGGCAGCGCCAATTGGCGGTAAGCGGCAAGGTTTCAATGGCGACGGCGTAGCCACCGAGGGGTGGCGTGGCTCGTTCTCCGTCCGCCCGCTCCCCCTACTCATGCTCATGGCTCCTCCCTCCGCCCGCTCCTCCTCGGCGGCGAGGGCACTGCAGGCGCCATGGCTGACTGCAGCAGAGCTGCCCGACCACTCCTCCCAGCTGGCGTGGCGGCGCTGCCACCAGGGGTGCTGCAGAGCCGCCCGACCTCGCCCGGCTCGCGCCCATGCCATGGCTGGGGCCTCGCCTCGCCCTGCCCCGCCCCGCCTGCCAAGATCTGACGATCTCATCGCCCCTTCACTGGTTGGTTGGTACGCCTGCTCTCCAAATCAAAGTAGCCTCTTCGATTCAGACTTCAGTTCAGCGCGTCAAAAAATTGTAAGATAAGGTTGTTCGATTTGTAAATTAGATTAATCTCTACGGTTTCCAAGATTTGTTGTACTTCTTTATGCTTGTCTGATCTGATTTACTAGATTTTGCGGCCGACGTGTTCTTGTTGTAGATTATCACGAGTATGGATTTCGTAGTCAGAGTCCAGACCAAACAAAGCTTTGGTTCTTGAGATGCTGGTTCTTGTTCCAATGGGAATATTGGTTGCTTATGTCAACCAAACATAGTGAGGAAAACTTAATGATGTCATTTAGACCTCTATATAGATGTTGAGCTAGTGTGCACAAAGGTGGCCGCGCAGCCCTGGTTGGCCTCCCAGGTCATCGATGAAATCACATGCCTGCTGGCACAAAGGTCAGATCTTGCATTGTTCTTTGTTTACCCACACATTTTCTGGTTGGCCTGTATATAGATGTCATCCTGCAGAGATAGATTGCGGAGACAGATTGTGACACGTTTATCAGTGCATGCATTTACTTATATAGTTTGTTAACCGATGTTCTACATGCATTCTTATACATTGAAGATTTTTGGTCCCACACAAAAGATTATATCGAAATATTTTTTTATGGTGTTACATCTGTCATCATTATGAACCATTTGGTCCCAAAATTTTGAATATTTATCAATATTAAATCTGAGTTCAAATAATTGCAAGTTGTGCCAAATATGTTTGACCAAATTTAATTAATTGTCAGCATACAATAAAAAAGTCTAATTCCAAATCAGGGTAAAATCACAATTAGGCATAACAAACAAGGGCAAAATCGCATGGGCATTCATGTCCTTTTGTATAAAGTTTAACACCGTTAGAGGTGGATGACGGAGCAGGGACAAACTAGTGCTTCGTTTTGAAATCATAGGGGTAAATTCACAAAGTTAAAAAAACAGGGGTAAAATCACAATTTCGATACAAAACAAGGGTATAAACGCAAGAGCCCCTTTTTTAAAGGATTAGGCAGCTGAATTTGTTTATGAATTTGTGTTTCTTTTATCAATTGATTTATTTTTTCTAGACGTCACCGTAGTGTTAGCACGGTCAATATACTAGTTAATATTAAAAGCACTAAAAATTTGCTAAACATGTTAGGCTATTGAACAAACTCCATCTAGTACCAGGGAAAATTGGGGTCGTTTATATGTACCAGGCCCTCACAATGGGTCAAGGTTGTAGCCGCTGGTCACCAGTCTTTATCTACAGTATTTTGAGAGAGGAGAATAAGCGGCTGCAGCAGCCACAGCCACTTATTCTCGCAGCCGAACCGGCCCATGTATGAATAAATATGCCGTGGAGCCAGCTAGGAAATGGCACCATCACTCGCTAAATGGGCCAACTACTGAATAAATAAGGTCCCCATCAGCCTATCCAGACAAAGGTGAACCTTAGTGCTTACTCGTAACACATAATCTATTTGTGAAGTACAAACAAAGTAAGGGAAAGTAGATTTGCTTCATTGAGGACTGAGGTAACCAGCCATACAGCTCATGGGTCCATCTTATCTTCCAGTGGATCGGCCAAATCAAAGGGTGACAGCAGCAAAGTGTATTGTATCTTGTCAACTTAAGCAAAATTTTGGTGTTTGTCAAATACTGTACAGTGCACAGTACAGGACTGAGAAGGATGCAAGAAATTTATTTATATTCTGGAATATGACTTTGAAAAATAAGTCATCTCAATCAAGAACTAAAGCAAAATGGTGAAACATGGGAGCACCTGGGGCACCTATATCCCTATATCACATACTCTCTCAGTGCCAATATCCTTAATCTGTCTGAAAATTTTCAGATGTTTTGGGACAGAGGTACAAAACTAGATGACAAGTCAAGTGACTATAGATTTTCACGAGTTGTCAATGAACATCCCATTGATCTTCTTTCTAAATAATACCTTCTGCAACCTGAGCACAGCATCCATGTAACCTCACACTTGCGGCTTGTCACATGCACACATGAGAAGTCAATAGTCTGACATGATACTTTATCTGAATCCGAGATATTTTCTATGTCAAACATAGAACTGATCAACAATTTTGAACTGAACTGTTTTCAAAAAAATATTCCACCCTGGATTTCGTTTTCCAGGCTCAATGCACTTAAGGCTTATGGAAGTATTACTGTGGAAAGTCATGGTGCACAGATAGTTCTCCGTGGGCTCATGCAAATCCAGCTTCCCTCATATCAGCTATGGTTGAATCAAGTCTTTCATGTAAATCGAACTTTCGGTATCCAGCAACCAATATATCATATATAGACCTGTTGAGCTTGAACAAACTTCGGATGCGATTCAAGAAGAGATCCAACCGATCAAATTCCCTGTGACGAAAATAAGAACAGATTATGACCTCAACATCCTCTGGACACATAAACATCACACCATTGTCCAACATCCGGTAAATCGCATGCTCCATATCTGCCAAGTGATCTGCCTTAGCATAGAACCTGATAATCCCATGGTGCAGTTGTGTTTCAGAACTCAAGTGTGGTCCCTTTTGTATTAGGGCAAGCAGCTGCTCCATTTCAGCAATTTCATCTCTATCTAGGCATATTCTCGTCAACCTCACAACTATAGCTTTGTTCAACTCCCAATTGCTATCACTTACACGTTTTAAAAAGTCTCCTACTCTGCTGGTCTCCTCCTTTCTAGAGATAATCTCAAGACTGGCCTCCAAAATAGTAGAGTTTGGCTTAATCTCGAAGGCGATCATTTCCTCAAACACCATTTTGGCATCATCTAGCATGCTCAACTGAACAAACCCTGTGATCAAAGATTCAAAAGCTTCAATACTTGGCGTAAACCCAGCATTCTTTGCAGCTACAAACCAGCTCATCATAGCATGGCCACTTCCAAGCAGCGAAAATGCACAGATGAATGCATCATATGTAGCTGAACTGGGATTGCATCCATCCATGTCTTCCATACTCTCATATAAGGTCATTGCAGAAAGGAGGTCTCCGGCCGACAAGAAAGCATTAATAAGGGCATTGAAAATGTTATTGTTCAGCTGGATTCCCTTCGCCTCCACGCATTCGAAAACTCTCATTGCAAGCGTTGCATTCCTTGTCTGACCACAGAAACGGATTATCCTCGAGTAGGGCTCGCAATCTTGAATGTCTTCCGTCAGCAGCTTCTCTAGTTTCCATTCCAATATCTAAAGTCAATGTTCACCAATCAAACAATGTTAATTAGCGGCATTAAATATCTCTTTCTCAAATGCAAATAAAAAAGGTCTCTTAAGAATCTCACAAAAATGTATTTACTTAACGGATTTGATCATATCAGCGTTTCAGAAAACGGCTATTGATACGCATCGCAAACCGCATTCTGACCCGTGAGGAAAACAAAAATTCCCTTCTGCCGCAGAAGTAAAAGCTAGTAATCAACTAAACCAACCACTAGCTTGATTGGAGGGGCCAAGGAGTGAGGAGAGAAGCGACTCACGAGGTGCGCCTTGGTCGGAGACGACGCGCGGAGAAGCGCGGCGGCGAGGGGCTCCCAGAAGGCGCCGTCGCGGTGGGACCCCGAGGAGGCAGCCTCCTCCATGGTTGCCTTGACGCGGCACTCCGGCTCCGAGACCAGGCGAGCGAGCAGATTCCCGTCCGTCCCCGAGGCCGCGGCGGCGGCCGCAGTCCCCACCCCGCGCCACAAGCGCCGGCGAACGGCGGCGATAGCCATCGACTGCTCGCGGTGGAAACTGGAAACGGGCCTAATGGATGTGGTACTAAGCAGGCCCAGTGAATTTTTCGTGCGGAGACGCCGCGGACTCTAGAGGAGCCCATCTTAGGATTCTAGCGCAGTTCAGCGCGCAAATAAAGGCCCATGTCTCGCTGCCGCCTAACCGCTGGCACAGTGGCAGTGTGGCACGCAGGTCCCCTCCGGGAGCTTCTTCACCCAGCTTGCAGCCGCCCAGCCCTTGCGCTCGCGCCACATGGCCATGCCCACAGGTCCCCTCCTCGGAGCTGCCGCCTGTCGGGCTCGGTCGTCGTACGCGTGCGTGCGCGATCTGTTCTGTGCCCGCGCGCTGCGCATACGGCCAAGCCCACGGCGGGCGATCGATCCGGGCCGCCGCGGCCGGGGCCTCCCGCCTCCTGCCTGCCGCGCGCCAGAGAATTTACGGCGGCGCGCGGGACAAGCAAGGGAGCACGGATCCTGTCCGTGTCGTCCGTGACCCCGCGGTCGCCGCGGCCACGCTCGGGTCGGTCGGTGACCTCGCTGGCTCGCCGCTACTACGAGCTGGACAGACGACCGAGGCGCTCGTACGTTCGGTTCATGCAAGCAACTAGTATCAAGCACAGAGCATCAGCTGCTGGCTGATGCCGACCCGAGATTAATCAGTCTGAACTAGTAGTAGGTGGTACAGGCACGGCACGCCTCTGCGCGGTGACCTGACCATCTACTGGTGCGTCGAAGTACGAGCTGCTTCTGCGTGCGGTGCGAGGCTGGACGGGCGGGCGGCCGCGTGCCCGGCGCCTGCAACGTAGTTTGTGCAGCTCCGTGCACGTCTCCAAGGCTCCAACACGTACGTACAGGGCCGTCCGTCCGTGGAGCGGCGGAGGTGGAGCAGAGGCGCAGAGCAAGCGGCCGAGACGGCGCCTAATTTATGTTATGAGCGCGCGCGAGCCGGTGCATGGCGAAGGGAAGGAATGGGGATGTACCGATAGCGGCCGCGTGTGGTGGGCTTGGGGCGCGTGGCGTGGCGTGGCGTCTCCGCGCGAGGGTGGGCGCATGGTAGTAGTAATTGATAACCAAGCCCAGAAGGAACGAACTCCACACCACATGTGCCCTGCCTTGCATTGGCTTGCCCTGCTCGCCGGGCAAACGCCAGGAAATGGAAATCATGGCGGCGCCGGCGCGGGTGGGAGGGAGGGACAGCCACGCGGAACACGGATCATGTGCCAGTGCCACCGTACCATACGTTACAGCCGATCCCTTGGCGGATCGTCTGATTTTGCCGGCCGGCGCCCTGCGGCCGCGCTCGATCGGCGGGCCGGGGCAGTTACCGCATGACTTCGCCGGCCAGTGGCTCGCTCATCAGTAGCGGGCAGGCAGTGATCCTCTGCCACTGCCACAGAGCGCGTGTCTTGCGTGGTGCCGACGGAGGAGAATGGGCAGGAAATGAATTGGATTGGAACTAGCCGGTACGGGCTGGAACTGAGAAAGATCGAGTTTTGCACTCCACGGGAGACGCGGAGGCGGAGACCTCCCTCCATGATTGTTGTGGATCCATCTGCAAGCCCCTGTGCGTGGTATCCGCCCATGCATATGCATGCACAAGCAGCACCCTGGCCCGGCGCTCCTGAACCCTGTTCACTTTAATTTATGGATGCTTGTACGCCTGCCTCTCGGTTGCTCGCGTTATTCGCCCTGTTCGCTTAGCAAAGGACATTATTGCACTGTGTGAAGATCCTCCTGTACGTACAGGGCTGAGTAGCTGAGACGATCGAGTTGCTGACGACGGTACGTAGATGCAGATGTAGATGGGCGAGCGAGCGAAATGGGGACGACGATAGACGACGACCATCACATACATTGCGGCCATTCATTTCGATGGTCCCGTCAGGGCGTCAGACGAGACGATCCGTCGACGACGTACTCTCCACGCCCTCGATCATCAGTGTCTCTCAGAGAGAGAGTAACAGCAGCAGCCACCTTTGCGGAAGTTTTTGTTACGTGTTGTTTTCGCTCAATCGGTTGTTGCCCAGTTGCCCTCAGGCTTCAGCCGATCAGCTCGCTGCTGTGTACATATCACTGCGTTGTAGTGTGTGCCAAGCTATAGGAAACTACTGGTAACTAAAAACACATGGTATATTTCATCCGTTCTAAATTATTTGATGTTTTTGTTTTTCCAGATATAGATTTTCCTATGTATTTAGATATATACTATATCTATATACATAGAAAAAAAAATATGTATCTAGAAAAGACAAAACGTCTTATATTTTAGAACGGATAGAGTATGTATATATGCTTGCACGAGAAATGTGTAGCAATGACAATCACGAACGAGACCATCTTTGCTGAGGATAATGTATATAAGCAGGACACGTGTGTATTCTCTTCTCTTGTTTTCTCCTCAACAACACGAGCAGCAACTAATGAATCGATCGAGCTGCACGCAATGCAGCTCGCAGGAGACACACATTGTGATTGACTCCAATTCTTTTACTGAATATTTAGCATGCGTAGCGTGGTGCTGCCTCCCAGTGACCGGGTAGCAAGATCAGGTGTGTGAAACCTAATGCACCCAACCACAGAGTTTGTAGATGAAGGAAACAAACGCTTCTGCCTCTACACTTAACGGACAAGTGCATATAGCCAGAGCCAAACCACAACCGCACACGCCTCTACCTACCTCTGTGTCTCCAACTCTTCATGTGGCACCAACCAAGCCGCATACACTGCCATGGGGCCTGTTTGGATGGCGCCTTGGCCTACAGGCTCGCACCCAGGCAGGGGTGAATCCAACGCGCTTGAAATTGAACACCTAGAAGCGATGTCTAGCTCAGGCAAGATTCCCATGTCATGAACCAAACAGCCTCTCTGTGCTATGCAGTTGACGACCCTCTCGTCCTAGTCTCCCTGATCCTCACTGTTGTACACGCAGTTCCTTGATGTATATGTATACGGAGTATGTATACATATGCTGGATGTACATGTAATGTAAGAATACTTTGATTTTGTCCTGTCCCAATGCAATGGACACCAGGACATGCAGTTGACATGTCCTAGTCTCCCTACTCCTCACTGTTGTTCCAAATTGTAGACGTTTTACATATGCTGGATGTACATGTAATGTAAGAATACTTTGATTTTGTCCTGTCCCAATGCATACACCGGATATACACCGGACATGGGCATGTATATATATATATATATATATATATATATATATATATATATATATAATGTATTTAGATATAAACATATATCTAAATACGTAGCAAAAGATATGTATCTATAAAACTGAGGGAGTTTTTTTTTAAAAAAAAAGTTTCTTGGCTTGCTAGAACAGAGAACGTGTGACAGCATTCAGCATCTGCCCAGCGTACCGTGCAGATGCTGTACGATCGAGGGCACATGCATGGAGCAGGCACCGGCTACAGGTACATGGTCTCAACTCACAGCTCGGCATTCAGTCTCGGTGAAAACTGTGGGTAACGTATATATGGAGTACGCTGCACACCGATACCACGCACGCACAGAGACAGCACGGGCATGCACACGCTACAGGCGTACGTGGTACAGTCTGTACGAGCTGGACCAGGTGCTGCTGGCAACTAGTAAAGGGAGCGTACAAGTGGAGTGAATTGATGGAATTCCGCGACGCAGTAATCGTCCGGTCCTGTCAATTTTGGACCAGCAAAGGCAGAGCCAATTGTACTGTATGTACATGAAGCTAATGTGTGGTTGTTGAACATGCATTCAAGTGGCGACCGATGCAGGTGTGTACAGTCGTAGTTGTACTCCTACATTGCGTGAGGATCGTAGTAGTAGTATACACTGATGTATAGTGACGGTCTGACGGACAGGGTGAAGACGAAAGTGGGAAAGCCGTTTCATGACATGTACAATACACTCCACGGAATGAAGTGCATAAACTGAAAACCGAAACACGTTTTTTCGACAGTAAAAGATTCTACGGATTCTCGTATCTCTCTGGCCTGTTGTAGGACCGTTTCTGGAACCTGGATATCTCAAGTAGCTAGGAAGTAGGAAGGGTGGCGATCAATACAGTAATTTCTTTGTGCCACTTGTTGGTTCAGCTGTTTAATCAGGTAGTATCAACCTACTATTTTGTCCAGAAAATGTGACTTTGTCAGCTTGCATTGCACTGAACTCAGTTCGCCCAATAATACAGCATACAGGTTATAGCTAGTGTGAGCCCCCTTACCTGAAATGCTACTGCCCTCACTTCTCGCTTGTCCTATAAACTCGATCCTCGCAGCGTCACATGCCCGACTTCTCACTCCACACTCCATTCACGAGCCAAAGCTAGCTAGCTCTCCTCCTCGTGTCCTTGTCACTGTGCACGAGCACGAGCACGTCGCCTTCCCTTCCGTTCCCAACAAAACCAAGAAAGCACTACTCGCACTAGAGCAAACAAACAAGCAAGCTAACACGATGCTGGGATGCTTCTCCCGGCTGCGGCGGCCGACGACGACGGGGTCGTCAGCGGCGCCGGAGCCCATGCCTGCGGCGGCGTCCGACGAGGCGTCCACGTCGGTGGCCTCGACGACATCGGCGGCGGGCTCCACCTCGCCGTGCTCGTCGTCGTCCTCGGCGCGCGGCAATAAGGACGACGACCACGCTGGCAACGACTCCAACTCCATCGTCGCGGTGGGCAAGAACCCGTCGGCGCTGTCCGAGTCCGGGCTGTCCTCGGCCATCGCGTCGCGCCGGTTCTTCCTCTCCTCCCCGGGCCGCTCCAACTCCATCGTCGACTCGTCGGCGCACGGCGCCGCCGCCGCCGCCGCCCTGGGCGTAGGCGTGGGCGCGGCCGGGGTGGCGGTGCCCACGTACTCGCCGGACCCTCACGCCGACTTCCTCCGGTCCATGGAGGAGATGGCCGCGGCGCTGCGCCTGGACGCGCGCCGCCGCGGCGACAGGGCCCGCCTCCACGAGCTGCTGCTGTGCTACCTCGCGCTCAACGACAGGCGCGCGCACAAGTACGTCGTCAGCGCGTTCACTGACCTCCTGCTCCACCTCACCGCCGCCGCCAACCTCGACGACGACCACCATGATTAGCTCTTCCGACTTCTTGACCGCGTTGCCATATTGCCATGCATACGGACAGAATTTTGGGTACGGAGATCAAAATCCTTTGCAATAATTGGCGACTTACTTCAGAGTGCACATCAGCAATCCCTTCCACATCAGCGTTCCAGGATCAACCAACTGTAAATACTGCCTCCAGCTCCAGGTCGTCGAACTCCGTAGCTAGAAATCTGTTCGTGTGCACAGCATTTTGCTTCAACTTTTTTTTCTCTCTGGGTGTGTTGTGTGACTGTGTGAGCAGTGAGCGTGCTGGCGAAGATATGATATGATATAGCCAGCTTCTAAAAACAAAGCTGCATTTGCATCGTGCTCGCTTGGTTTGCTCTGTGCTTGCCTTTGCCTTTTTGGTCATCTCTGCTCTTTTCCTGTTCAGCTTTTCTGTTCTCTTTGGGGTACCTACCTGAAGCCTAAGGAATGTTCGGATCCGGTGACTAAAATTTAGGAGGTGTGTTAAAAGGATGTTGCATGAGATGTTTGGATACTAATAAAAAACAAATTACATAATCCGTCAGTACTCCACGAGACGAATTTTTTAAGCCTAATTAATCCATCATTATCATATATATATATACTGTAGCACAATGTTGTCAAATCATGAACTAATTAGGCTTAAAAGATTTGCCTCCCAAATTAGTCGTCAACTATGCAATTAGTTTCGTAATTAGTCTATATTTAATACTCCATATATGTGTCCAAACATTCGATGGAACAACGACTTTTAAAAAATTAGAAGGGCAACTAAACACCCCCTAAATACGCTTGCTTCTGTGATAAACAACGTACACGCCATGCCAAAGGATGCTTGTGTCGTGATTATAACCACTATCATGTTTCTTCAGATAATACTGAAGTTGGGCTAGACTAAAAGTTTAATGCACCATTTAGTCTATCCGTTTGGACGGCCTAGTGCTAACTAAATTTTGTCCAGTAATCCTTACACGCCCTGCATCCCGTCCTTCTAACACATCACTTGCTAAACTAAACAAACTAACCCATAAACGAGGTCTCCTCGAGGCCTTGAGACGAGCGAGGGGTCTTCGGATCCAGCCACAGGCAGCAATAATAAACGAGGTGCCATGCAAACCCAATCGGCCGTCAGGTACAGGCGCTGCAGGCTGCTTCCAGCCTACACATGGCCGCCGTGCAGTTGGATGGATCGCATCTGTAGAGCAGAGTAAGCAACCATCGGCGCCATTACGTTTTCCTGACTGCATTCAGTAGGCATAATGCGCCATTACCTTCTCCTGACCGCATTCAGTAGGCATAATTATCTGTAGAGCAGAGTAAGCAACCATCGGCGCCATTACGTCTTCCTGACTGCATTCAGTAGCCGTAATGCGCGATATAAGGCTATCTCCAACTTCAACACCCAATACGCATTCGTCCTTTGGGTAGCGCTACAGACAAAAGATTCAATACATATTCGGCATCTTCTCCAACAACAAGACGTAAAAAAGAATCCTTTCTGCAAATAGTTTTTCAAGAGAGAGGATGCCCATATTTAAATTGTGCCTCTCAGGCAACCCAAAATAGGTCTCCCGTATAGGTATTCTGTTGGAAGCTGATTTTAAATCTCTTACTACCCATTTTAGGTTTAGATGTCCATATGGTTCCTTGGAGAGACAGTCTAAGGTCATGGAGGACCCACGGTCGCAACGACGAAACCACTCCGGGGGTGCGGGGTGGGGAGAAGACAGAAGAGCCGTGCCGTCGAAAAGACTGAACAACCAGGCCGTTAGGGGCAGAAGTTGACACGGCAACAGCAAACACGATCGCTAAGCCGTGTGCCTGACAGCTCCATTCTTCTAAGGAAAAGGAGGCTCACGAATTCACAAGACGAGCGGGTGGGCAGCGCTAGAAAAGCTTGCGCGCCCGTGTCGCGATTGCGATCCCTGCAAGGCCATTGACAACGCTCGAGCAGCAACCAAACCAGCACAGTATCATGGAAAGCAGCAGAACCACGCACGACACGATCTGAGTCCACCACCGGCCATCACTAGGCTGCAGGTACCATCACCTGTGATCCGTTTCTTTCCGACCGGCAGCGGCACCGACAGAATCATCTCCGGTGGCCACGCACAAAGCCGTGCGGGAAACTCTGACACCCAGTGCACACAGCACATGATAGGGAGCAGAATAAGCATTACCCGCATCGACACCCGAACTTGGACTGTGTTTATTTCGCAAAATAAAATTTTTTAAATGTCACATTGGATATTTCGAAGATGTCGAAAGAGTTTCAGATACTAATAAAAAAAACTAATTACATAGCTCACCTAAAAACTGCGAGACGAATTTATTAAACCTAATTAATCCATCATTAACACATGCTAGTTACTGTAACACTTATGGCTAATCATGGACTAATTAGTCTTAAAACATTCGTCTCGTGATTTCCAACCAAACTGTGTAATTAGTTTTTTTTCATCTATATTTAATACTCCATGCATGTTCATAAGATTTGATGCGATAGTTTAGGATGAAATTTTTGGTAACTAATCCAGGCCTTACACCGACAGGAAAGGAAACATTACACCGACAGGAAAGGAAACAACAGTAACACGGCAACTTTGGCGCCCCGCAAGAGATGCAACACAGCCTTCAGGAAAGCCAGGCGCAATCATTCCGTAAGCAGTAAGAAAGTAGTCACACTATCTAATCTGGGCTCCAGTTGGGACCAAATTAGAGATAACTATATTTACTGGATCGCAGAATAGTTGATGACAACATAGTTACATAAGGAAAATCTATAGAGCAAACCACATCTATATTCAGAACACACACCGGCATCTTGTCAATACATTATAACTTTTAAAACAAAGACCGGTTGAGATCTAACTGAACCCCTGCATGCATCTACTATCCATCCAATGAAAGAGGTGTTTGTGGATTTACAGAAACAACAAATTAGATGACAAGTTAACGATAATATTGGGGAGATCTATAGGTCAAATCCACAGGTACAGTCACAACACCAACATTTAAGCTTCAAGTTTTCTGTCATATATCAGGTCAAGTCTATACAGTGTCGCTACAAGAAAACCTCTTCAGGTCTAATTGTAATTGGAGGTGTTTGGGTCACAGAAACAGCAAATTAGATGACGAGTACTTTACACGGTCAAAAAATTTCAGGTCAAATTGTAATCGGACCTCTAGATCACTTGTATCTAATATCCATCCAATCTAGAGGTGTTTGGGTCACAGAAATTGCAAATTAGATGACAAGTACCATACTGGGTCAGAAAACAGTTAATGATAACATAGGGAAGATCTATAGGGCAAATCCACATCTAAAGTAATACTGTCAGAACAAACACCAGCATTTAAGCTATTAATTTCCTTTGTCATACATCTGGTCATTGTCACATCAAGACAAAGGCCATTTGAGATCTAACTGTTAACACGGAGCATCACTTCATTTGATATCCATTCTGAGCCTAAATATGTATTCCACTACAAGTTATGAAATTTGAAGCCATAAATATGGTTTCTCGGGCATGCATTCTGACTTGTCTGCTTTCACCTCCGAACAAATGGAAATGGAAGTTATGGTACCAGATTGCCCATAGGCAAACAAGGACTCAAACTAATGTCCGAGTAAAAAACATAATACTAATTAGCATTTAAATAGCTTTGCCATCTTCTACTTCCACACAAATTCACACTAGGATTTCTGAATATTACACCCTCTTACATAATAACAATACAAACAACACGAATGCCCAAAAGAGTGGCACCAACCTATTGCAACAATATACTCCGACATTCAAAGAACCAGACATATTCAAAAGTGCCAAGGAATATGCAGCGAGTAGCGACTACCTTCTTAACAGAAATTTAAATCTTCATGGCAATTGGCAAGTCAAGAAAGAAAGGAAAAGCTATAATATAATATAGAAAAAGATCACCAATCAGGAAGTCTATGCAACATCACACTTCCAAATGGAGAGAAATCAATCATGCAATGAATGATACTTAAATAGGAAGACAGATCTCTTCCAAATAACCAGTCAAACCATGAGCCATAGACGCTTGCAAGAAAGTACACCTAGTGCAAATACAGCTTCCAGAACTAGGGGGTATAACTCAACTAGCTGCAGATATTATATGCCCAACATCTTTTGTCCACAGAAGCAGCATTGAATCTATAAATTGGGATCAGAGATAGGTATGCATGCCTCGGTGCAAATTAAATAAACTGATGGAGGTGGGGTTTATGGCAAGAGATCATTCATTTGGATCAAATTCTCTTCTGCTCTTGAGGAAAGCCCTTTTTCTAGAATCTGAGTCTAGTTCATCCAGATCAGATGCAATTGCTAGGTACCCGTAAAGTATCCTCTTTTTCTCAGCTGTCCTGGTATCCGTCTCGACCAACAAAGGGTTCTGATCAGAATCTACAGAACGACTGGCATGAGCACGTGACCAACCTATACGTCCATGATCTTGCCTCTCAAGGAACTCAGCAAGACGCTCAGCCTCCTTCAAGCCAGATGGGTTGTTTGCAAACTTGATAAGTGTCAAACCCATGTGTCCTTCCTTTCCATACAAGGACTTCGACTTCCCACCAGAAAACCCTAGTTCTGAAAACAAAGATACGAGATTGACACAGCAAATATTACTGTGATATATATGGCATTACTCCAAAAACATGTGCTTAGCGGAGGCATGGTTTCATAAACAGGGATGGTATTTCTTGAGTGATTTTATTTCTCTGCTCCAAATATGGCTTAATTCTAACTTGCAGCCCTGAACAAACTAAAGACTGAATAGCATTGCTGCTTGCTTACATTAGATAGTTTAGTTAAGCAATGAAAATGAACCCCACGATGATGCTACAGTTCTTCCTTAACTAGAAAGGTAGCATCACAAAACATTGGACAGAGAAATGTCATTTTCCATATCTGAGTATCTGGCCAACAGGAGCAAATAAATCTGCTTGAAGTAGATCAATCATATGGCCACCACACTGACAAGACAGACAGGACATAATTGAACCCCTTGAGGTCAGGATGATACATGCCTCATGTTCATGTAACAAAGATAGATCCAGCATACTACTGTTGCATAGAAACTGCAATTACTTACTGTCTCTGCAGTAGCCTAAGCATTAGTTGCATTTATTTGACTGCAAATTGAACAGAAAGCATCCAATCAAGCATTGGATGCACTACTAACTGTAGCCTAACAAAAGACCTGGAGAGTAGTGATACCCAACAACCACAGCACAGCTCTTCCTAAGGTCAAGCTGAACGAACAAATTACCAGGTAATCTTCATAGCCTCCATGTAATCCTGAAACTTAATTAGCAGCCCCTACAATTAGGTTGTCTTTTAGTTGCTTCATAGCAACTCTATGTCCCCTTAATTTGTGGGTCAGTGGAAGGAAAGTATGTGAGTCGTCTTGTAGCGCTAATTTAGCTTATGAGGTAGTTGTACCATGAGATAACGCGTCTTCCCTCACTTCCCTTCCTCTCCTCCACATCACCTAAAACCCTAAATGGCAATGCATGAGGCAACCTATGAGATGGCTGGCATGGACTAATGTACCCAGCATAACAACTCATGAGTATTGCCTTGGCAGTTCCACAGTTGGCACTACGTCCAATCAGCAAAGGAAGAGCAGCTCTACAACCCAGCAAGACGCGCCCCCCCCCCCCCAAAAAAAAAAAGCAAAATCCTGTCTTTGCTTAACAGCAGTAAGCAAATTGCGATACCATGCTAATAAAAATATATTGAGTGTTGTATAAAGCATATATATGCCACAGGCGCTTGTATGCAAACACTGCATTAACTTAAAGGTTGTGATATAAATATACCTGTCATTTTCTTATCCATTTCTTTGTTCCCTAAACCCTCAAAGCGACCATCTTTCTTCCTCCCAGTCGAAGTATTGTGAATGATAACAGTAGGCGGCCACACGATGAGGTCCTCCCTACTTGCTTGGACAAGGTCAGAAGGTAATGATTGGTAGCCCTTAGAGTTCTCAGGGACTTTTGTATAATCCCATCCCATAAGGACACACAATGCCTTGTGCAAACCAAGATGATCAACAAATGAATCTGCATTTGGTGGGTTGTAAGCATGCATGACAAGTCCATGGACATCAGCAAAGTCCTTATAAGACCTGGAATAGTGCACATTGACCAGACATGATCACAAATAAATTAAGATCCAACGAGTAGCAGCTGGAAACTAGCGAGCTAAACACAGTTCATTACAAATACAGTGTAATAGGATCGAGAAATGAGAGGGAATCTAAACAGGCAAATCCCCAAAGAAGTATAATAACTAAAAAGTAAGATAGGATCCTATGGCAAAGAAGCAACTGTCAAGAGAAAAACAATTTTAGACATATTCAGTCATTGGTGAAATGACGTAAGTTTGTTGATAGCTCTGGTGCTCTGAAGGTCGTATGGAATGAGACAGCCTAGAGGGATATGTCATGGATCGTCCACAGTTCCACTATACATCAATAAGGAATGGTTATAAGCTCCCACTTGAAAATATGGTAATGGATAACAAGTAGTTTTATGAGGTCTGCACCTAGGCTTGAGTACTTGCTTCCAAATCAAATCCTATTAACTGTACAATAACAGCTATTGAAAAGTTGAATCAAAACATGAACTGCCAAAAACTTTTTAAGGTAGGCAAAATATATGGATCCCACTGTCGCATCAGGAAGCAATTGGTTTCTCTCATCCAGTTAGGCACTTAGGCAGCAGCTGCATAGCAACTATGATTTCAAGACGCAGGCAGACATTTAAGGGGAAAAAATGGCTGGGGCTGTAGAAGGGAGGTTCCAGTGGATTTCATGTCCTTTTTTTTTAAAAGGAAAGACATTTCATATAGAGTGCGAACCTAACTCAAATATCATATTTCAAAATTTGCCCACTTAACAATTTCCTATGGCTGTTGAAATTTCTGTAAACATATTGTTCACCACAAGACTGTATAATACATTTCGGCCTCTGCACAAATAATTTATTTTTATTTAAGGATTCACTTATTCCAACAGATTAAGATTTGACCAAACTTCAACAATCTGGACATATCGTGGTTTATAGATGCCAGCTTGATGTACCTTTACTACAATGATACGGTCAAAAGCTTGGCTGGTGAGTGATGGTATGTCATGTCCTCACACCTCCCTTTAACGTCTCAAAAACCTCCAAAAAAGAGGGAGAAAAAACTCCCCGACAAATGAATTACTCCCTCCATCCCAAATTGTAAGTCATTCCAAGAATCTTGGAGAGTCAAACTTTTTCAAGTTTGACTAAAATTATAGAGAGAAACACAAAGATTGATGACATCAAATAGGTATAATATGAAAATATAACTAATGAAGAATCTAATGATACTTACTTGGTATGATAAATATTATTATTTTGTTATATAAATTTGGTCAAACTTGAAAAACTTTGACTCTCCAAGATTCTTGGAATGGCTTACAATTTGGGATGGAGGGAGTACCTTCTAACAAAAATTCATTCTAATATACAATAAGTTCCATCCTCTCTCTGCATTTATTGTCGTGACTCCTCGTTATCTTTATCCTCTCAGCTTCCCTAGATGTATTCACTAACAAAGCTATCATGAGTGCATCCATTGTTGCTGCTGTCCTACTCATCATTCTCAAGTATAGCTACTCACCCACTCCTCGCAATCCCAACATTGCACAATTTAGTTGCACACAGCACAGTGCAAGCATGGCCATGTAGATTGAGCGGGGCAGAGAAGGTCTGACACAGGCTGCAGCTCATCTCAACCAGGCATAGTGGCCACGCACTGTGTGCAGTTTAGGCCAAATACAAGCAAAAGGGCATGATGTCAGCAAGGGTATCCTCCTCATGGGGGTTAAGTATGAGTACTAGAATAGCAAAAGTTAATCCTAGAAGCAATCACAGGCCTTATCGGCAATATAAGCTAAAAAACAGGGTCTACATATGAAGCTACAATCAGGAATATTGCAGTTACTATGCCAGCCACAGAACAAGTTTAATAACGTACAGCATCATGCAAAATAGACGAATAATAAAAGATATGACAAACAATAAAAGGAAATGAAGCGGCACAATTTCAGGAGAAACAATTACAAATATATATATATATATATATAAAGCTATGCCTCAAGCATCCCAAACAACCAGAATACCTGAAGGAATGGCTTGTTTCAAATATCCAGATACTTTAGATACTACTGATAAGGCACTTGGGACATCAATAGCCTTTTTGGTTACTTGTATACACCTAGCCTGGCACGTATGAGCTCAGCCAGGCTCATTTAAGCCAGGCTGGACTCATAGGCCCTGTTTGGGACTGCGGTCTCCCACCGCACGGTGCGGTAGACGAGCGGTGGTGAGGGAGCCACGATACGTAAAATTGGGTTCGTGGTTCATTTTCGTGGTGGTTGAGTCGGATGCAGTGAGAAAAATCAAAGGTACCGCGCAGCGTTTGGCGGGATTCTGGGCTTCCTTCGACCGCCACTGCAAGATACGCGGTCCCAAACAGGGCCATACAAGGTCGCTTTGTTTGGTTGCTCGTATTTGTCCATCCAGGCAGTGTTTGGATAAAATGTGTAAGGCAAAAGTAATTACTCCCTCCAGTACCATTTCTTAGGCGCAGGGGCTCAAATTCTAGATACCAAGGAAACACTGGATACCGAGGAGAGGTATTAAACGGCGCAGGATTTTAAGCTCATATTTGCCAGGTCACAGCCCTGTGTTGGATTCCTGATTCGCTGCATTCACTCATTGCATGCATGCATACATGCATACGGTTGCTACTCAGCACATCGCCAAGAAAATGCTAGTGCCCGGTTGCAGCCAACCGTTCGGTTTCCATGCGGTCACTAATGCCTGCCTAACAAGAGGGACATTTCTCAAACTACACCGGCACCTAAGAAACGGTACCGGAGGGAGTATTATATTTATTCTATACTCCCTCCGTCCCAATTTAAATGCACGTTTAGGATTCAAATGGGCAAAATACTGTAGCTGGCAAATTACAATTCTACCCCTAAAAAGTGCAGCTGTTGTCACTGGAACAATGTTGATTGACGCAGCAAGAGAATAAAGCCAACAACAGTATACAGTAGAAATGTGTGGCAGAATTTCACCGGCACATCAACAGACAAAAAAGCAACAGTGGATGGACTGAATGTGTGGAGGAGACTACGCTGCACTTCCTGCATTTCTTTTTTTTTAATCGAACTTTTATTCCCTCAGACGAAGTGCAGGTTACAGATACCAGTACACTGCTACGCTTCAGATGCATTGTGTCCATTTATTTTGGGAAATTTTTTGAACTGTAAACGTGCAGTTATTACAGGACGGAGGGAGTATAAGTTTTAGAAGTCTTAGTTTTTCCTCATTAAGCCTTAATTAGCTCTTGAAATCACTAATGTCATTAATATATACTGATTGTGAACTAATCCTATCATTAGCTGGAGCCACATCGCATCCAGCGATCTAGGCCCACGGGAAACGGAAATGAAACTTGTTTCCCGGGAGCCAGGCTGAGGGAGCTCTTTTGCATCCTGTGGGACAGGCTCAAGCCTTGTACAGACAACCAAACAGGCTACAAACAAGCACAAAAATGAAACCAATTCAACTCGTATATTTGTCTAGAAACTAAGAACAAAAATGCACCCAAACATTGATGGTGCACAAAGTATTTGACACTCAAAATACACAAGTATGCTACGTATTATATGATAGCATCATCTGAAGCCCAGTAGCTTGAGATATGTTGGGAAAGAAAATATTCAGATCATAAATCATGCCAGCAACACAAAATATAAAAGTGCGAGAGTGAAATTAACCATGAAAAATAGAAAAACACATAGCACAACCTCAATAACAAACAAAACATACAAAAATAAGAGCTGCAACAAGATCAAATAAACATTCACAAGCACATAAGTGCAGCCAAGCAATCAGTGAACAAGGATATTAGTGGCAGATCTACCAGATCTGTCCTTGCCACCACATATAAGAACTCGCAAGAAGTAAAGCAGGATATGCATTTTATATATATTTTCAGAAATCTGTACTCAGATAACCTCGCACATCAATGCGGCTCTTATTAAAAACTTGCAGTTTCCTACTAGATGTCAAAGGCAGGATGAAACCACTGTGGTTCTATACTTCTATAAGCAGACTTCTGATCACACAAGTGCCACTTTAATTCAATCTTCGATGGGTAGTCAGACGTAATTCAGTCTTCAATAGGTAGGAAAGAGACATAAGAAAAAATATGTACAGAGTAAGCTTATACATTACGAAATCAAAAGACATGCAACAAGCGCCGGTGATAGATATATGGTTCACTAGAATGGATATATCATTACTCTTACAATGGAAAACAAAAACCTCAAATAACTCAAAGTAATCCTTGGAGCAATGATGGCATTATACCAAGTAGCATAAGGCAGAAAATCTGTTGCTAGACATGCCTAGCAACTGCAACACCAGTACCAGATAAAACTAAGCAACCTCGACATTCCTAGTACTGTTCGCCTAAACGGCCGTTTAGCCCGTTTACACACCGTATAAACGCTACACGGTGGTACACCGTTTCCGTTTAATCAGTAGTTTTGACCGTTTAAACGGCCGTTTTGCCCGTTTAAACACCCATTTTGCCTGAATAATGGGCTAAACGGCAGGTGACTGACTGTTTATTGTTTAGCGTTTAGGATAACACAACGTGCTAACTGATATCTAACTCATTCCTAGTACTGCTAACTGATATCTGATGGTCCATAACCAACACGGAACTCTGCCTTTAAAAAACGCATACCAATTCAGCCACATGATATACTCTACTAAAGAAAGACCTATTGGCGGCAATTTTTCAGTAAAGAGATAGCTGTTCGGTGGATTTCTCCACCCAGACATAGACATAACATAGTCAGTTCCAGTTCAACTAGATCATAACAATAAGGAGATACTATTTGGTGGATTTCTCCAGCCAGACATAGACATAACATAGTGCCAGTTTAACTGTAGATCATAGCTAAAAAACAAGTTGTATCAAGTCAGAGTAAGAGCCAGCTCAACAATAGCAAGAAACCAACACAGGAACTTCACTACAAATGATACTAGAAAGCTTGCCAGGAAGAAGGCAGCAAACAGTGTGGGATCGCCAAACCTGCCACAGGCGAGACACGGGACACGGCCGCCCTCGAGATAGCTCCGCCTCTGCACGGAGCTCTCGTTGAGCATCTTGGCGTACTTGAGGAACGCCCTCCTGAGCGCGTGCCGGTCCACCGCGGCATGTGGCGTCCGTTGATGCGGCCCGTCAAGCCGCGGCTGCTTGGGGTGCCTCGGGAAGCCCTCGTCCTGGTCGGCGGGGTGTTTGCGCCTAGCCTCGTGCGGCGGCATCTGCACAGGCATGGGCATGGGCATCTGCGGCGGCGGCGCCTGATGCGGCGGCCAGAGGTCCGGGGCGGCGCGGGGAGGAGGAGGTGGTGTGGGAGGGGAGGCAGGGGCGCCGGCTCGAAGGGGTAGTCAGGGGGCAGGGCGAAGTAGGTGCGGACGGTGCCGTCGGCGAGGAGCATGGTGCGGCGGTCGAGGTTGTGGAAGCCGTACGGCTGCGGGGGAGGAGTCTCCACCGCCGGCTGCGGCTGAGCCTGCGACCGGAGCGCGGCCGCCGGCGACGCGGGGTTGCGGGCTTGTGGTGCTGGCACGGGAGGGCCCCCCGGATGGCGCCTGGAGTCCGCTGTGCGGGTGGGGGTCGGGGTGCGGGCGGAGGTGGATGGCGCGGCCTTGTCACCGGCCGGGGCGGCTCCGGCAGCTCCCGGTGGCGGTGGACCCCAGCGAGATGTGCGGGCCGGCGCCATGCCAGCGGGGGGCTTGCCTGCGGCGGACGGCCGCGAAGGAGGGTTAGGGTTCTTCATCGCTTAGAGAGACGCGATCGCGATGGAGGCTGTGTGGATTTGGGGGAATGCGACTGGATTTGGATGGCGTCGGAGACAGGACGAACGAACCAGAGGGGGGGGGAACAGGCGCACAGAGCCAGCACGTCGCACGCGAACGAGGTCGATGACGAGGCTTGTCTTAAAGTGTATCCCATAGGTTTACGCTTGTTTCTCTCTCTTTCCATACTTTAAAAAAAATCCACGTCTCTTCCCTTCTCTGTCTCTAGATCCGACAGTCTTTAGAGGAAAAATCGGGACAGGCAGACCGACCAGCGGTGGGAACGATGGCTAGACGACGTTCGGGTCTTGGCGGCCGGGCGGAGGCGGAGTGGGGGTGCCCATGGCCAGATCTCGCCGCGGAAGGAGGGGAGAGGAGGAGGAGGCCGCAGCGGGGCGGTGAGTGGTGGCGGGGGCGAGGAGGAAGAAGAACAGTGAAAAAATCAGGTGCTCGGCACTCAGTTGTTGGATAGACAACTCCTTACGCAATCAGTAATGCAAGGCGTACTTCGGGTGTGATCGGCTAGCTACACATGGCTTCAGGTGTCGTGTTTAGATCTTCGATGATCAGGATGCCTCGCTCGGTCCTAGGGCCTGGCCGATCTGGGATAGACCCATTATATGTACCATTTGACATTTGTTTAGTTGACTATATGAATACATAGGAGATATAGATATATAAGCTATTGTTCGTCAAGCTCATAAAAAATGAAAACGATTCTCGTTTCCATGGAGCCAAGCTTGATGGGGCTTAGTAGATAGAGAAAGCCGTTGATGAGTTGTTTGTCGCTAGGCTCAATAAAAAACGAGACGAGAAGCTCAAAAGAGAACTCCAGCCATGATCTCACAACTCTCGCACGAGGAATTTTGTCAATACATCGAAACACGCTTAGATTATGGTATCCCGACAAGCGTCCAAGTCGTAAGCTGACTTTGGATTTTGGGCGATGTGAAGGAGAGAATGTGGAAAGAGAACATCACTAATGACTTGTGTCGGTGTTTCGAACAAACACCAACTAATAAATTTATAATTATTGTGCGTTAGGCTCGGATGGTGTACTAAAGGACACAAGGTTTATACTGGTTCGGGCAGAATGTCCCTACGTCTAGTTTGCTGCTGCTCGTATTATTAGCACCAAAAAAGGTTCGTAGTAGGGGGTACAAACGGTCGAGAGAGGGACAGGTCCTAAGTCTCTGATGGAAAAGTTGAAAGGGCACCAAGAGCTTGGTTGGTGCTTGGCTGTGTGTTGTGTGTGGAATCGATCCTCCTTTTTCTGAATTCGATCTCCTCCCCTAGTGGGGCGTCCTGCCCTTCCTTTTATAGACCAAGGGGGGACAGGAGTTACAGATGAGAGAAAGAGGAAAAAAACCAAAGGTAGAGAAGGTCCTTCGAAAGTGCCGGGTCTTCCTTTTCCCTTGAGCCTACCCTACTGACATGGCAAACCACGCTAGGGATAACATGTTTCGCTGATCCTGATAGGGCCAGGCTCTGGCTTCGCTTCAGCGAGTGGTCCTGTCCCATCCTCCCCCGGGGGATGGTGCGGTGTGTTAGGACGCCGAGCCATCACTCTATGGGGAGTAGACGAGGAAATAACTATACGCCTGTTACTGTAGATTATGTGAGTTCTTCCTTGGACTGTAGTGGTTGTCGTATGCCTGTGTTAGTATCCGCGCCCGAGGGTTGATGGCGGCGCCTACAACACTGTAGGACAAAAGTCGGCGCCTACAACACTGCTCGGGCTCTGTTAGGTCGGAAAGGGCTTAAAGCACCCGTCCCATCGTATCCTGATGGTACCTTCTTGCAGGCGTGCAGGGCATGGTCCTCGGTACTGCGGTTGACTTGAATGTCCTGTCGTACCCTGTGCTCATCATCATGAAGGAGCAGGGTGCAGCCGTTGGGCGAGGCGGAACCAGCTCTCAGACGTCGGGCGAGGCGGAGCCTGCCCTCGGATGTCGAGCAAGGCGGAGCCAGCCCCCAGACGTCGGGCGAGGCGGAGCCTGCCCTCGAATGTCGGGCAAGGCGGAGCCAGCCCCCAGACGTCGGGCGAGGCGGAGCCTACCCTCAGACGTCGGGCGAGGCGAAGCCAGCCCTCGGGGGTCAGGCGAGGTGGAACCAATCTTTCGTAGTCCGGGCAAGAAGCGTAGTAGCGTTCTTGTCTGACCAGAAGCGTCACCGTTCGATGGTTTATTAGTTCCACCTCATTGGGTACCCTGGTATTAGGTCCCCGATAGTAGTCCCCGAGCCCCCGGGTGATTCGGACAGAATCGTCCAGGGGTGATTTGACTTGCCAGAGGGTGCGCGCGAGCGCACCTGACGGGTGTAGCCCCCGGGTGATTCGGGCAGAATCGCTCGGGGGGTATTTCGATTCGCCAGAGGGTGCGCCGTGTAGCCCCCGAGCCCCCGGGTGATTACGATAAAATCGCCCGAGGGGTAATTTTGGACCTTTCGCGGGTATGGCTGTGAGATTCAGTTTTTTGTCAACTGGTAAGTTTAAAGAAAACCCTGGGATCCTGTTCGTGGGGATTCGTCCAGGGTTAGCTCGGTTGGGACTTGATTGCGCATCGAGGTTCCCTTGAGGCTTGTGTGCCTGAGTTCTGGCCGCTCGTGGGCCCATCCCTCGTTGGGATGGCCGTTGAGACTGTTGGGTTGGCCCTTGAACTCCTAGGCCCTGGAAGGCTGGAGAAAAGCTTTTTGACCCATATCCCTTTTATGGGAAAAGAGTCCTGGTCTGTCTGGGGAAGGCGAAACGTCTAGCATGATTTTGGTGGGAAAGGATAGGGATCGCGGGCGCATATCCGGCGACGTGACATGGCGGTGTATCATGGCAGGCTCAGAGACCTAGGTGGGTGGTTGCTCTTCTCGCATCCGTCGCCCCTATAAAACCGAGGGGTTCGCCCCAGGGTTCCGTACTTTGCCTCCTCGCCTTCGCATCGAGAGCCTCCTCGCCTAAGCCTCCCGCACTCGCATCGTAGCCACCGTCAAGCTCGCATCCGCATCGCAGCCGCCGTTAAACTCGCATCCACCCCCTCCCGGCCATTTTAATGGAACCGTGGTGTAGATCCAACATCACCCCTCAGCGCCTAGAGGGCCTCGTTCACCGTGGCCTCCTTCGCCCGCTGACCACCGCCGAGGAGTGGCGGCTGCCCGGTGATGAGGACGAGTTGTCACCGCCCAAAGGGTATGTCGTGTCCTTCGCTCACTTCCACGAGCGGGGATTCACCATACCTGCTCACAAGTTCCTTCGGGGGTTGTTAGATTACTACCAGGTGGAGTTGCAGCACCTTAGTCCCAATGGGGTCTAGCACATTGCGGCGTTCGTCGCCCTATGTGAGGGGTTCCTGGGGATTAGTCCCCACTTCGACCTATGGCGGTATCTCTTCGCCATCAACCTGTCGAAGAAGCGGGTTGAAAAGCAAGAGTTGGGTGTGCCGATGGGATATGCCAGCATTCATCTCCGCAACAACCGGGTGAACAAATACCCATCGATGCGTCTGTCGACCTCCAACAAGGGGTGGCATTCGCAATGGTTTTACGTCAAGGACGACGTTGCCGCCCCCTTGCCGGTGTTCTCCGGGCGCATCATCGAAGAGGTCCCAGGGTCGTAGAAGTGGGGTGTCCCGGAAAAAGACAAGAAGAGGATCAAGGACCATCTCGCCGCCCTCCAAATTCTGAAGGAGAGGGGCGTGAAGTGATCAGGGATCATCGGCGCCTACCATACATGGAAGGTGGTGCCATTGATGAGCCGCGCGCTTCCCCTGTACCTGATGGGGCCCAGAGCGTCGCTCGAAACGACGGCGCTTGTCGACGAGGTGCTCCCCCCCTTCGAAGTGGCGCAGCGCATCAAGAAGGCGATGGAGCGTTTGAAGGACAATGCCGGCGTTGTACTTGATTTTGTGTATCCGGTGCCGGGACATCCCCCAATGCGGCCAGAACCAGGGTTCATCGACTTCGTAAGTTCTCCTTTTCCGTGCCTCCTTTTCACTTGAATTTCTGACCCCTTGACGCTGACCTTGGGATAGCGGGACCAGCCGAAGAGACTCGTCTTCGGGGATAGCCCGGCTCCGCTGCCAAAGGACCGGATCGTGGCGGCGGTGAATCGCACCACGACCGAGTGGGATAGGAAGATGAGGGAGCTCAAGAGGAAGGAGACGCTATGGAAGCAGCAAGCACGGGAGCGAGGAGAGAAGACAAGTAGTGATGATGACGACAACGACGAGGAGTTTGACGAGGTAGTTGCCGATGTGGATTGGGGCATCCTAGAAGGCGAGGATACGTTGATAGGTACCACCTCGTCCACGCAGGGGCCCTTCTGGTTCCATGCAGAGGGAAGTGAGTCCGTGAGGCCAGCGGAGATAGGCCAAACCATCGGCCCGTCCTTAGGATCGGTGGGAGCAAGAGGAACTGCCACCACACCCGGGGTGCCGGTGGAGGACCAGTGGATGGGGGGAGATGGATCTACTGCCGCGCCCGAGGTGCTAGTGGAGGGGGGCTGCTCCACTGCCGCGCCCCACAAGCTGATAGGGGTGAGCGGATCTATTGTCGCGCCTGAGGAGCCGACAGAGAGGGGTGGCCCCTCCGCCGCGCCCTCGGAGGGAAGGGAGATGAGCCCCTCTGCCCGGGAGCAGGGGGTAGGCTCAAAACGTCCTACCCAGATGAGTGGGAGCAGGAATCTGGGGGTTCATCCCCAAAACGTTCCTACCGCCCAACAGTGCCAGCGTAAGTCACTGATTCCCCTGTTTTTCTATTTTGCTGTTTTGTAGTGTGACCTTATGCCTTTTACCTCTTGTAGAGTCTTACGACAGGGTCATTCCTTGAAGCTGGTGCCCAAGAAGAGTGTTGCTCTGTAGGCAGAATAGGTGCCGTCGCCCAACGTCGCTCCCTTTTTGGGTAGGAGAGGAGCCGATGCTGCGGCCTTGTCGGCCGG